ACACTACCCGCACATCCAAGCTTACAGCACCTGGTATTTCCAAGCGGTCAACCATCTAGGGACTGACCAGAACAGTCATTGATTGATAGATTGATTTGTTTTCTACGGCTTACCAACCCTCTGCAGGTTATTTAAAGCCAGAAAATATTTTTAGATAGTCGGAATTTCTTTTTTTAAATAATAATAATTTAGTGGCACAAGTTTTACTAATTAACCTATAGCTGGAGGGGATGAGGTTGTTTCATGCCTTTCCCAAAGCTATTTGCGTGCAAGTGAATATAACGAACCCAACTAGAACTGGAACTCCGGTTAACAATTGCGAGCCATTATTCATTGCACCACCCGCACATCCAAGCTTACAGAGTCTGGTATTCCCAAGCAGTCACTCATCTAGGTATGGACCATTTATAGATTGATTCGTTTTCTACGGCTTATCAACCCTTTGGCGGTTATTTAAAGCCAGAAAATATATTTTAGTTTGTAGGAATTTCTTTTTTAAATAATAAGGATTTAGTGATACAAATCTTACTAATTAACCCATAGCTTAGGGAGATGAGGTGGATTTTTACCTTTTCCAAGGGTATTTACGTGTAAATGGTTGACAGAACTGGGTATAGGAGTGATAGCAAAAAGACAAAATGCACTAAGAGTTACAAAGGACAAGAAATTGTGGAGAGTCATGATCGCAAACGTCCAACATGGCACATAGAAAAAGATGGGGGTAACGATTTAACTTTATTAAAAATATACTTCGGAAACAATAGCAACAAGTAGTGTGGTGAAACTGAAATCCTATATATTACATAGGGGGGTTACACAGAATAAACGTAAACAAATCTGGGGCGGGGGGAGTCAATATCCTTATCCTGTCTCAACCTTTAATTAGCGCATCTTATTCCATTGGTAAAGAAGAAGTTCTTCTCAGTTTCCCAGAACTGTTACACCGTGGAACAGATACCCGAGATGTTTCCCCGATGACTATGGTCTTAACCACTTTAAGTCTTCTTATCTATCCTCCATATTCTCATAATATGCACTGCTTACTTCATCCCTTTACACTCTTGTAACAACCATATTCAGTAACCCTTTGAAGTATTGTATTAAAAAAAACAGATTGATGAAAACTATCTCCCAAAAGAAAAGCAGAACGTTTCGCAAGTCAAACTCAAGAAATTCATATGAACTGACAAACGAACATTTGTTGATTAATTGATTTGTTTTCTATGGTTTATCAGCCCTTTGCAGGTTATTTAAAGCCAGAAAATAATTTTAGATGGTAGGAATTTCTTTTTAAATAATAATGATTTAGTGATACAAGTTTTACTAATTAACTCATAGCTTGGGTTGATTAGGTGGATTCATGATACGGTCACCCAATCTAGGTACTGACTAAGCTCGGTATTGGGTAAATTCGGTTATCATACGAGAACCGGTGTTTCAACATGATATGGCCAAAAGCAATACTAGCTGCACATAGTAAACTCAAGCGGTCACCCACTGGCCAAAATCGATGTGGCTTATCTTCGATGATCGTACGGGAACGAGACTTTCAACATGATATGTCCGTAAGCCGGTAATATTTGGTTGAAAGGAAAGTTTTAACGGTCTCTGAATAAATTTGATTGGCTGTTTCCATTAATATTTTAGAACTGTTTGAGGGTAAGTAACCGGATATGAATAAATCATTCGCCATTTTTTTTCTGTTTTTCAAGTGTATCTTTTTTCTTTTCTTTTTTCTTTAAAAATTGTTTTGATTTAATGTTCTAAAAACCACAAAATCTTTCCTCCTAAACAAAATACATATTAGTTTCATTGTATAAAAATAAAAGCTGTTTTCAACACGAAAGGAAGACTTATTCTCACCATTCTCTTTTAAGAGAACGGGTGCAGGGAGTTACAACGTTAAAAATATATTCGGCAGTGAATAAATTAGCATTTAACCCTATCGTTCTGTAAAGAAAGTGCGTTGACTATTTCAGCTGAGACCGGGTTCAAAACAACCAGAAGCAACAGATGATTTGAACACCTTTTTATTATTTTTATTTTATTTATTTATTTATTTTTATTTGCAGCGTCTCGGGTTGAGTAAAACGAGCTAACAAAATTAACTGCGAATCGGAATTGCAGATGTTGGCTGGTGTTTCTTCATAACAAGCGCCACCTGCTGGCACTATCACGCATTTGATTTTGGGTAGCTTCCACAGGGGGAATTAAGATTTTATCTCCCGCATGATGAGACGATTTGCAACTCTGCACAGGATGGTGGAAATAGTGTAGATTTTCTGAGATATCCGATGTTTTATGTATGTATGTGTTACGTTCCCACGTTGCTGAATATGGCGAATAGAACAGCATCCAGTATTTAGAAAGTATCTTCTATTACGGGTAAAGTTACAGTCTAGGAAAAAAAAACCACCAGGTACAAAAATACATGTTGTTTAAACTACGGGTGCTGTTTATACAAAACAAAATAGAAAGACCAATAATTTTAAAAAACAATAAACATTATCTTGTAATCTTTTCACGTCAAGCAAGGCGATAAGGCCACCCAAGACTCAAGGTTGAAAAACAACGAAGTAAACAAAATGGAGAAAACACTGCAGAACAGAAAGAGAAATAGAAATAAGAGGATTCAAGGATACAGACGATTAACTTTAAATTTTTGAAGCAGTCCTCCTATATGACAGTGAATGCTGGACAATCTCCTCACAGATGGAGAAGAGACGAAGTAACAGAAATATGGCTCTACAGAAGGATGCTGACAATATCATAAACTTGAATATGTGAGCAACGATATAGTTAACATCAGGAAGAGACAGCTGAAATTCCTAGGGCATATAATGAGGAAAAGAAGGCTTGGAAAATTTGACACTCACAAGACATTATTATCCTTATTCATATTATCCTTTTACAGATATAGTCTATCTGAAAATTTTACATATATATATATATATATATATATATATATATATATATATATATAAATCGATAAATATTAACTATAAATCGTCCATACAACATACACACACAGTCATATGAAAAGTGTTGATTCCCACCACAAAGACATATTTTTACCTAAACATTATAGTAACCTGCAGTAATCCATTAAACTATCCGCACACTCATGCTTACTACACATGCTATTCCCTATTTTTTAATATATACTAAATAATAACTTAATAATTTTAACGAGTTAACAAACAAAAAAAAATAAATTTACTTATTTAATAGACACAAAACAATAAACTTTACTTTATTTAGGAAATAGGTTTTTCAGGCGAAACCTTTTTTTAAAAAAAAAATCGCTTTTTTAACTAAAACTAAAAGATTTGGAAGAAACTTCTTCGTCATTTACACTATTCCGCTAATATAACCTTGATTGATTGTGAAGCTCTTTGTAGCCTAGTAGTTAAAGAACGTCGGATAAGACAATGATTTCTCTTGCTAAACGAGATGCAGGTTCGAATCCTGCCAGAGGGAACATTTTCTTTAAAAATTATTCTCAAGTAGATGAAATAGATACAGTTTAAAATAAAACTGAACGTCTACTCAAATACGGGTATCTACACACAGAAAATAACATTTGAATTAATAAAAATATATATTTCTGATATGACATATTATAAACTATTTACACTATTTACATTGTTCAGACTGTTGTTCTCATCTTTATTGGCATATTGATGACGTTTCGACCGTTGTACGTCCCGAACTTCTTCAGGGACTGCCTATATTTTCGAGATGAGGTTTTGCAACCATTTACAGTATTTACATTGTTCGGACTGTTGTTCTCATCTTGTCATATTCACAACGTTTTGACCGTTGTTCGCACTGAGCTTCTTCAGGATCTGTCTATATTTCTGAGATGAGGTATTGTAACTATTTACACTATTTACATTGTTCGGACTGTTGTTCTCATCTTTATTGTCATATTCACGATGTTTCGACCGTTGTATGCACCGATATTCTTCAGGATCTGTGTATATTTCTGAGATGAGGTATTGTAACTATTTACACTATTTACATTGTTCGAACTGTTGCTCTCAACTTTATTGCCATATTAATGCCGTTTCGACCGTTGTACGCTACGACCTTCGTCAGGGTCTGTTTATATTACACTATCTACTTTGTTCGGATTGTTGTCCTCATTTTTATTGTCATATTCACGACGTTTCAACCGTTGTACGTTCCGTCATCCGTCAGGTGATAGAGGTTGGAATTTTCAACTGAACCCTTTATTTCGTCCATGATATTAGATTGTTCTAGTTTCACGTGCCATGCCTCTTCCGGATATCTCAGTCTCAGTTATTTCCTGTTAGTGACTCAACTCTCCAATATTTTGTTACCCTCTGCTGTGGCCAGATATTGAACTCAAGACTCTTTGGGTCAAGTTACTGGATTACCTCAACCAACGCTTTTATCCACTGGGCCATGCGACAACAAAGATGAGGACGATGGTCCGAACAGTGTAAATATTGTAAATAGTTACACTACCTCATCCCAGAAATATAGAAAAATACTTCTTCGTCAAAGTGAGATGAATCTTTGCATATTTCGTCTTCTTTCGTTTCGCTAATATTTGAGCAAATTGTTCCTATGTCGATCTTCGACTTTGCCGTGAAATCAGATTCTAAACTCTGCAAATTTCGTTCTGTAAGTAGAATATCCTGGAATGTATCAATATTCGTTTCTCTGCATTCCTGCTCCCACCTCCATAACGCAACTCTTTCGCCTGTTTAGTTTCCCAGCCTCCATTTTGTTCACTCTTGATCCTTGGATGTTGTTTCTTATCCAACAGATGTAAACACGCATGCTGCTGGTTTGATATCTGCTGCTTCTTCGCCGTGCTAGCGTCTGCTTTGTAATCTTACGATGCCAATACGCTTAAATATCAGTAACACAAGCGCATGCGCAGTAGGTTTTCGTAAGTACGTACGTGCCTAATTGCGTACATGCCAGGCTAGATTGAAAAGTTTGCTCTCATAAGTCAAAATTCTTTGATGGTGGGTTGTTCTTTTACGGTATAGTCACTTTTGTGGAACTCATTTTTTTTTAGTTATGTTGCAATAGTTGTTAACGGAGGTTTCCTCCGAGACACGATGTGCGGATGGTGCAATGGACATCGGGTCGGAATGAGTAATCGGAGAGCCGAGTTCGAATTCCAGTCAAGTTCGTTACATTCACTTATATGCAAATATCTTTGAGTATAGTATGAATGTGTAGCGAGGTTTATAAGTTAGTATCGATGTATTATTTCCCCCCGTTGTTATTGTCTGTTGACTGTAATGCGATTGATATTAATGACAGAAATTAAAATGCATAAAACGTACAATGATAACAACAATAAAAAATTGAAACACAGCGTTTACATAAATAACAAGAATTTGTATTTTCTTCTTGTGATGTGAATTACAATATATTGGCATGGCGTGTGTACATATGTTCTCAGTGTCTGTTTTGTTTAAAAGTCAGTACTTACTTGGTTTGGTTCCGAGAATTTTATTTGTGAGGATGCGTTTGAAATCGTCTGTTTTTGATCTACCCGGAGCGCTGGCAATCGTGTTTCTGTACAGCTACTGTTAATTGTCTACTGGTCTACTGACTACTTGTCTATTGGTCCCTACATGTGGAAAGGTCGTTTTCATAATCACGATGGTTAGGATGATGACATATCCTTCTTTTCTATCATCACTGATGACAGAGGTTATTTTTAGAATGATGAAATATCATTATCATTCTGGGCAATAACAAATGCCTCTCTTCTCCTGTCAGCTAGGGCTAAGAAAAACATTGTTTTTTTATAAAAAAAATTTTTGAATGGGTTAATGGTATATTCATTCGAGAAAAAAAAAGGACCTTATAATCCAAAATATGTTCCGGTTTTAAATAAACCAAAAAGTGTTGACATGCAATAATAAGTCCAATTACTCAATCAACCAACAAGCTATGGGTTAAATAGTATGACTTCTATCTGGAGAAACTGTTGTTACCTCAAAAAGTCGTTAAATCAATATTCACTCGCAAAAGAAAATTATTCTTACAATCCAAAATATATTTTGGCTATAAATAGCCTAGAAAGAGTCGATAAGCCGTAAACCACAAAAAGGTGACAAGAGAAGGTTTACTTCACCAAAAAGATAATAATACGTTGGTGCAAAGTCAGGTGAATATGGCAGGTTTAGTAAAACAGACCAACCGTGTTCCAAATTTTTTCCCGGTGTTGTCCTTGCTGTATGCGGCCTTGCGTTGTCATTAAGGAGAACAATATTTCCCCTATTGACGAACTCTGGGCGCTTTTAGAACAGACTTTTATAAATAGATGAATAATTCTGCATTTAGTGTTCCATTACTTTTTAAGGACTCTAAATGAATCCCATCACATGCACATTACCTTTCTTCGGTGGAGTTCAGCTACTGGGGGTCGATTGTGGAGATTTCTCCTTGTCAATCCACAGCCTTTTGCATTGAACATTATCGTGTGTAACCCATTTTTCTTCACATTTTATGATATACCTAAAGAACAATTAGGATGGTGCATTCGCCATTACAAGTGATTCACAAAAGCGGAAATTACTTATAACGCAATATATTTACTGTATGCGAATTAATTTACTTCAGTAAAAAAAAAAAAAAAAAATGAAAGAGAACATTTTTTTTTCATACTTCAAATTCTTGAAAATTATGGATAATTATCTTTTTTTCTTCCGTTTTATTCAGATAAATTCATATAATCGGAAAAATTCGGATAAATTTATATAAAAACGGAAAAATTCGGATAAATTTATATAAAAACGGATAAGTTCGGATAAATTCGTATAAAATCGGATAAGTTCGGATAAATTCGGATAAAATCGGATAAATTCGTAGCTGAGGCTCTTAAAATATTCTCAGTGATATTTGTTTTTCTTGTGTTTTTTATTGTGATATACGATAAGGTCTGGGTCCAATTCCTATGTTACAAAGAAATGAAGAATTTTCAGGACGTTAGTACTAATGCAGTCATAAGACAAACAGAATAACAAGGAAAACGATATTTCAATTACAGGTGAATGACTGATGACTTAAGGAATGAACGGTGTAAAACGTTTCTGCATATTTTATAATTATACCTCTTCCACTGGATAGTTGTAGTTTTCTTTCTTTTTTCTTTCTTTTTTTCTTTCTTTCTTTCTTTCTTTCTTTCTTTTTTTCTTTCTTTCTTTCTTTCTTGATTGCTTTCTTTCTTTCTTTCTTGCTTCTTGCTTGCTTGCTTTCTTTCTGACACTTTTTTCTTTTTCATTCCTTCCCCTCAACCTACATATAACAGTTTTTCTTTCTTTCGTTATTTTTTTGTTGTTTTCTTTTTCCTTTTTCTTCTTTTTCCTTCATTCATCTACCTTCATTCATTCCTCCTTTCCTACCGACCGACTTATTTTAATATTTATTTTCTTCTTTCTTTCTGTTGCATTTACTGTTACTTTCTTCTTTTTTCTTCCTTCCTTCTTCCACCCTATTTCTTCCTTCATTCCTTCTTTCCTTGCTTTCTTTCTTTCTCTTGTAGTTGCTGCTATTTTCTTCTTTTTCCTTCTTTCATTTCCTTCCTTCTTTCCTTCCTTCCTTCCTTTTTTCCTCCCTCCTTCCTTCCTGCCTGCCACCCTATTTCTTCCTTCATTTCTTGTTTCCTTTTCTTTCTTTTTTCTGTTGTTTTTTGTTACTTTCTTCTTTTTAATTCTTTCCTTCCTTCTTATTTATTTCTTCCTTCTTTCCTTTACATTCCTTTCTTCATTCCCTTTTACCTTTCTTTCTTTCTTTCTTTCTTTTAAGTCTTTTTCTGTTACTTTTTTCTTCCTTCCTTCCTTCCTTCTTATTTTTCCTTCCTTCTTTCCTTTACATTCCTTCCATCCTTCCGTCTTCCCCCCTTCCTTATTTCCTTCCTACCAACCTACATGTAACATTTCTTTCTTTCTTTCTTTCTGTTGTTTTCTTTTCTGCTACTTTCTTCTTTTTTCTTTCATTCATCTACCTTCATTCATTCATTCATTCCTTCCTTTCACCCCATTTCTTTCGTTTCTTTCTTTTCTTTCTTTCTTTCTTTCTTTCTCTCTTTCTTTCTATCTTTCTGTTGTTTTTCTGCTACTTTCTATTTTCATTCCTTCTTTCTTTTATATTTCTTTCTTCCCTCATTTTTCTTTCTTTCGTTCTTTCAAGTGTTTTTCTGCTACTTTCTTCGTTCTCCTTCCTTCCTTCATTGATTGATTCATTCATTCCTTCCTTTGTAGTATTTTTCTGTTATATTCTTTTTCCTTCCTTCCTTCCTTCATTCATTCCTTCCTTCCTTCATTCATTCCTTCCTTCCTTCATTCATTCCTTCCTTCCTTCATTCATTCATTCATTCCTTCTGTTGTAGTGTTTTTCTGTTATATTCTTTTTCCTCCTTTCCTTCCTTCCTTCCTTCTTCCTTCCTTCCTTCCTTCCTTCATTCATTCATTCATTCCTTAACATTTATTTATTTCTATTAATTATTCTTTGTTCAAATGGATCCACATCAAAACACCAGAGATTTGGCACAAAAAAGTAATGTATCATGTCCAACTGTCCACAAATATCGCAAACGAATTGGGAAATTTTGCAAATATGGAATGTGGGTTCCTCATTAGGACCTAACCCAAAATTCCACCACCCGTAACCATCTGGTTAAAAAAAAAGAGTCACTAGAAATACCAACCTTCCATTATTGCCTCGCAAATTATTATGAAATATGTCATCCATGACGAAGTATTCCGCCATAAGTGTCCTGCTTTGGTAAACAGAAATGGTTTTATTCCTTAGCGGAAAAGTACAAGGACACACTCCTCAAAGTAAACGCAAAAAAAAATAATACCATCAAGATTAGAGGTTCTGCTACATACACACCAGATTTAGCGCCAAGAAATTTTCATTTGCTTCGATCATAAAAGAATTTCAAAAGTGGCCGAAAGTGCAGTCTTCCAAACTTTGGAGAGGGGAACCAGATTTCATTAAACGCGAAATCTAAAATTCGCCTAGCATTTGGGCTCCGGTTGTTAATAAAATTGATTACATTTTTGGTAAATAATATTTAAATAAATTAAATTTGTTTTTATGTCCTTTCTGCAAAAAAAAATTTAATCACTTTTCGATCACCTTACTTTTACTGAGGACCTATGGATATTAAATTCGAACGAAGCTTGATATATTCCTTGTTTTTGTTATAGGGACCTTAAAATAATTTCTGATAAAATCGGACCGTCGTAAACCTGTGGTGGCTGACCTCGCCTTTTGGTTAAACGGAAAAATTCGATTCATGGGCAAACATCTTTTGCTTTAAAAGTCTACTGGGATTAAAGTTCACACTAAACCTCAAGTGGTACTCATATATACTTCAAGTACTACTTATATATACCATCCATCGCTAATGATGGTTGGAAAATATTCGGTTCCTTCTACCTCTCCAGAAAGTACAAGACTGCTCCTGCCATGCTCTACCTTTGCAAGAATTTAATCAGACCAAAACTAGAATTCAGCGAGTGAACATACAGCCATAATGGACAAAGTCCGACAATTATTTTAATATATTTATTGTTTATACGTTATTTTTATAGATACAAGTATTTAAGTAAATACTATGTGTATTAACACCGTTTACTGGCTTGAATGTCCGAGAAATTTCATAGAAAATTCGAACCTGTATCCTATACGGAACCGTCATATAGCCTAACGTGATATACCATTTAGCTACAGAGGAAGCGTCTGATTAGCAAGGTCGAATTACTGCTTTTAAACTACAAATTTCCCATGATTTCTCTCGAACGCTCATATCTGCTCGAAGCGTATCTTAACGTAAACAAATGACATCATATATTATGAAATGGACAATTATTTTAATATATTTATTGTGTATACGTTACAAACAATATATAAATAACGTATAAACAATAAATATATTGAAATAATTGTTGGACTTAGTCCATTTCATAATATATGACATCATAGATAGATAGATAGATAGATAGATAGATAGATAGATAGATAGATAGATATGAACAGGCTTAGATAGATAGATAGATAGATAGATAGATAGATAGATAGATAGATATGAACAGGCTTAGATAGATAGATAGATAGATAGATAGATAGATAGATAGATAGATAGATATGAACAGGCTTAGATAGATAGATAGATAGATAGATAGATAGATAGATAGATAGATAGATATGAACAGACTGAGATAGATAGATAGATAGATATGAACAGACTGAGATAGATAGATAGATAGATAGATAGATAGATAGATAGGAGACGATGTGGAATAATGAATAGCGGCTCGGTTTGAAAAATCCATTACATTCACTTATGTGCTAGTACCCTTGGGAAAGGTATGAATCCTCTTCTCCCTGCAGCTATGGGTAAATAGCAGGACAGAAAGGTTTCTATAGCCTTGGATGGCAACCAGCCTAGGAGAAGAACAACTCTGATTTCAAAATCTGCGGAGGGTCGTTTGGGAACCTTGTGGCATACAGTGGACTTCACTATAATCAAATGATATATGCGGGTAATCTGGCTGTTGATTCCAAGAATGGAGCTGCTTGGCCCTCATACGTCGTAATCAACGGCAGAATCCAGCAGTCTGTATATATATATATATATATATATATATATATATATATATATGTGTGTGTGTGTGTGTGTGTGTGTGTGTGTGTGTGTGTGTGTAGGCAGCATATCTTCATTTAATCATCGAGAGAAAAGCCATCTCCGCGAGAAAGGTACAAATGATTTATTATTTAACCGTACACACACATACTCACACACATCTTTCTTCCTTTTGTTTTTGGATCTGATGAAGCCTAGAAAGGCGAAACACGTAATCAAATCTAGTTTGTGATATTTCTTCAAAACTTTGTTAGGATATCCTATTTTATACACATACTTAAATATACGATGTAATGTCTTAAAGATAAATGCTTACTGCCTTATTATTTTACTATTTCAAGTTTCATGACTAATTTTTCCTTATAAAAATCTGAACTGCGTCCCAAAGTTTTAGTTATTCTAAAAGTGTGCCCTGAAGTAAAAAAAAAAAAAAATGAGTAACACTGATCTTGGGGAAGAAAACCTAAATTTTAAAACTCTGCTGCTTTGCGCTCCTATCCAAACACGGGAGAAGTTATAAAAGAAGATTAAAATTTATTGAAACAAAACAATTACAGTTGACCACTGATGACAATTCCAGAACAACGTAACAATAAACAATTTTTTTCTAACCTCTGCAAGCCACAATGATGGAGAAAGCATTACCTCGAACAATCTCCAGTGAGACACGCTGTAAGAGCCACTCCGTTTCGCGAGGCTCGTCCCTTAATCGAGACGCAATCGCGCCAATCCTCCGAAGGAACGCCATCGAACGAGGACCAATAACCCCTGAAGTCTCCACCGCCACAGGAGTAAAAAAAAAATCTATCAGCAAGAGAAAAATATTTAACTATTTTTTTTTTATCTCTGCGTCCCGGGCGACGGATCCTGGCTCAACAAATTGTGGCACAACAGTTATGAAAGTAAATCCAAACAGAAAATCCAGAGTGAAGCCCCGCAGGCATTTGATTGTCAACACTGACAACCTTCAGTTGACTCCTGCAGCGAAATCCGACCCCAAATCTAATGCCCCGTATTCCTTTGGATTTTGTCTGTACTGTCATTAGTAGAGGCATGTTGTCTGTACAGCACATGGTCTTCATACACTATCACCCAGGGCAGCGCCCTGGTGAGGTCACACCAGTTTCATCACTAAAGGACTGAATTTTGACCAAACCGAGCGCTACCATTATCTCACGAGATAAATGGATGCCCAATATATATATATATATATATATATATTAAAAAGAAGAGAGGTGCCGCAAACGTTTTTGGTTGTAATGTGGATTTATTTAGAAAAAATATTATGCTTTGTTCTACATAATTTTACTACGACACGTGTTTCTGGTCTCGCGACCGTCTTCAGGTAAAAGTGGAGATTTCTACATATTATTAAAAATAATTAATTTTTCTTCATGTTCAATGTGAAATGTTCTCGATATGAGACATTCTCTGTTTGTGTGTTGGCAATCCGAATTTTCTTTCTAGAATTGTCAATGAAAAGTTTTCAAGAAACGAGGCTACCCCACAACACTAATAAACAAAGGTATTGAACTCGCGAAAGAAATTCCTCTAGACCAACTTAGAAATAAAAAGAAACGTAACGTCGAACAAACTCTAGCATTTGTCTCAACGTACAACAAAAACAATCCAGAAATATTCCCAGAAATCACAAAAAATCTAGATTTACTTAGCAAGAATAATAAACTGAATAATATACTAAAAACAACCAAAATAATTAAGAGCAAACGCCAATCTAGAAACCTAAAACACATATTAACCTCATCTAAATTTAGCCAACACAAAATACAGGGAGTCACAAAATGCAACAAAAAAAAAATGTGGGGTTTGTGACATCATTATAGAAGGAAACTCCTACACTTTTGAAAACCCCAAAAAAACATTCACAATAAAAACAAAAACTTAAACTGCAACTCCAAAAAATGTAATTTATGCACTTAAATGCACAAAATGTAAGAAGTCATATATAGGCATCAGCCAACAACTGAACAACAGGGTCTCCCTACAAAAAGCAATATAAAATTGACAGACAACAGAAAACTTTTTGTATCACAACACATTTTCAAATGTAACCAGGGTAAGTTTAATATCATGCCGATATATCAAACAGACAATTACTCGTATCTACAAATACAGGAAAAAACTTTATAGACAAATTCAAACCCGAACTGAATAGATCGTAACCCCACACAAAAAACACACAACATGCACACAAGGTGACACAATACAATGATCAAATCGCTCACATACATGGACGCACACTCATATATGGGAGACACGAGGAGACATATATATGTGTATGTACACATACATACATTTATGTATGTATATGCGGATATTGACAACTTAAGTGTGTGTGTGTGTGTGTGTGTGTGTGTGTGTGTGTGTGTGTGTGTGTGTACTGGTTCCATGTAGCTTGGGAAATATGTGTGTATATGTGTGTGTGTACTAATTACTTGTGGTGGGATAGTGTGTATGTGCGTATGTGTGTGTATGCGTGTATAGGTACAAATAAGTTTACGAATTCCTCGTAGTAAGACAATATGTATGGAGGAAATATACGCACGCATATATACACGCATGC